ATAATCTTGGAGGAAGTGAGTCACTGGGGTGGACTTTGAGGTTTCCAAAACCCAAGCCAAGCCCAGTGTCTCTCTTTTCCTGCTGTCTGCAAATCCTGATGTAGAACTCTCAGCTCTTTCTCCAGCACCATGTCTGCTTGCATGCTGCCATGCTTCCAGCCATGATGATAGTGGAATATCCTCTGAAACTGCAAGCAAGCCTTAATTAAATACTTTCTTTTGTAAGAAAAATAAAAGTTGTCATGGTCATCATGTCTCTTCTCAGCAATAGAACATTGACTAATACAGACTGTCACATAGCTTTATGGAAAGAAGTAACCTTGTATGGAGTTATACACACCAGTAAGAACTTCCACAATCTGGGTTGTAGTAGTACACACCTTTAATCCCAGTACTCTGGAGGCAGAGGCAGGTGGGTCTCTGTGAGTTCAAGGTCAGTCTGGTCACCAGAGTGAGTTCCAGGACAGGCTCCAAAGCTGCAAAGAAACCCAGTCTTCAAAAACCACACACAAAAAACCCCAGAACTAACAGAAGTTCCACAAACACTTTACCAGTTTATCAGTTAGCTACAATTTCTGTCATTGGGCTTCTGGGCTGGCTGCATCTAGGCCAGTGATAACAGCATGAATCATTCTTGAGGCAGATCACCAGGAACCAAGGATGGTGATCATGGGTCCTTATTTTCCAGTATAACAAAGGAACTAATGTAACAGGCTTGGTATGATGTAATGGGGCAATGTCAGCCATTATTACAGTAACATTCCCTTTCCCTCATTCTTCAAACAGTTTAAATGCATCTCATAATAACTTGCTTTGTAGAACTTTAAGACAATTCTGAAGCCATTTCTGACAACTCTCAGTACTTCCTCTCCTCCCCTGGGAACCAAGGACATAAAAACTATGCATGCGTGTACTGAGATGTTGGGAACTTTCCATCTCCCTGAATAGGGGCAAGATAAACCCTTAGGTGTTAACTCCATTACTGATGTTTTGACTTAGTCCCTGGGAAGAGGCCGAGTGACCCCCAGAAGTTTCCCTTTACCTCATCTGATCTGGCAATCACTCTCCAGCCAATTATTGGTAATAGCTCTTTTGAATAAGCCAATCATAATAGTTAGAGAGCAACCTCCAGACACCCCTTTCTTCTGTGGTTTTCCCTTTAAAAATAGCCTGTACCAGACATCAGGGTCTTCTAGCCTCCCGACTGCTGGAGGACCCTGTCATGACAGAATAAAAATCTTCATGCTTTTACATCAGCTGTGATGTGAGAGATGGTCTCTTGGGGCAACTCCTCCTCCTCCTTGGTGATTGGACTCTAGGGTCCAACAGCTTTAGAATGGAAAGGCTAGACAAGGAACCAAAAACCAAAGATGGATTTTGATCCAGATTAAGTTTATACTGTTACACCCAAAGCCCAGAACTTCAAAATACCACCATGAGACCAAATTCAATGCAAAAGCAAAGGATCATTATCGTGAGTTAACTCGGGGCCCTCTGTTCGTCTGAAGTGTTAGCAGCAGCAGTAATAGCAGCAACAGTAGCAGAGCAGGAGAGACCCCAAGTGGCATGGGGTAGCAGTTTTATTATAGAGGGGAAAGCTTGGGGAATTCCAAGTCTACAGGCTTGGAGTTGGCTGTCCCTACCCATGGGGTGAGGGAATTTTCTAAGTCTACAGGATTCAGATTGGTTGACCACTCTGGGCTAAGGTTAGAAAAGGTCATGGTACATCTCTAGGTTAAGGGCTACTACTTACCCAGGGTAACGTCAATGGGGAGTCATGCCTCTAGACTAGAAGTTACTACTTCCCTACTCAGAGATTGGTCGTTTTTTCCTGGTCAGGCACTGGTTGGTTTCTTGTCAGGGGCAGAGATGGCTCTCTGATTTCAGGACCAAACTGTGATTCCTTTTCTGATGCTTTTTAGCTTTTAGGCTCCAATTTTAGGGTCAGAGCACATTTCTTTAACTGGCCCTGATTCTAGGGGCAAATGTGTTTCTTTGGCTTTGGTTTCAGGTACAGGGTGTTCTTCTGTGACTCTGGGTTCAGGGCTCAGGTTCCAGATCCTGGGTGTATTCCTTTCACTGGCTCTGGGCTCTGAGTCAGGGTGCTCATCAATTGTGCTAGGGCTATGGATCACAGAACTGTAGGAGCCTGGGTCCTCAATAGCACACTTTCTGTTCTTAGTTCCAAATAAGTTTGTATTACAGATCCACACAATTCCATCATATATGCTTAGTCTGTAGACTGTACCTAAAATCTATCAATAGATATATGACCAATTAAAAAATGTATACGAGGTAACTATTATAGAATTCTGAGGATTCTGGCCTGGCAGAAGTACAATAACTGTTTCAAAGAAAGACAAGAAACATATAATTATGGACAGTGAGAACCAAAGAACAGTGATGGCAAGATAATGTCAGTTAGTTTGAGGAAGGGATAAAAAAAGGGCAAGAAAAGTGAATGTAAGGATAATATGATTGACCTTAAAACATATATGGTTTGGTGAAAGTAAAAGGTGGGATAAAATAAAGGAATTTGGGAAATTGGACCTTTTGTGGTTTGTTTCTAAGAGACCATCATTGGGAAATCAATAGTTTTCTAGGTGGGATGGTAACAGAAGAAATATTTTATAACTTAAAATCAAAGGTTTTATGTAATTGGCAAAAACGGCATATAAGCTACTACTCACCAGTTATTACAGAATACCTTTGTACTAATAACCCTCAACAAGAATTCAGAAGCTTTTTCCCACACAGGAGATCGGAATGAGCTTCTAAAGCCAATGTGAATGTTGATGCCCTGAACATTTAGTATGCTAATTTCTGTCTAGTAGTTACCTTCATGAGGTTTCACAACTCAAAACTATGAATGTATAAGAATAATCATAAATGGAGTGGATCCAATTCTTTGAAGACTTTCAAAAGTGAACTCCCCAAAGGACACGTCATCATAAATGTTATAAGTACAATAATAGCTTGAAAATGAGTCATTAATCGGTTGCAAATAAATAAATTGTTAGAAATGGTGCCAGAGAAACAAATTTTGCAAGAAAAATTGGAAATTTTTCAATTATATTTCAAAATAATAACTCATATGCTATGAATATTGTTGGTGCCCTTAATAGCTTCCAAATGAATGTATCATCCTTCTTTGTTGTATAATACCCCAAAAATTTGTGTGGGCTGACTGCCTCAAATTTATTTGTGATAAACATATTAGCTATATGAATCGACATTATTAGCTAAATGTGCTTAGATCTGAAATTAGCATATAAAATGAATATAACATAACTGGGAGCCGCATTTGAGGGGACTCTATTACAAAGGGAGGCAAATTACCTGTGATAACACAAAATAATTTTGAAAGAAATTTTTCGATAAGATTTTACAATGAAATAACTTTTTGTCCCAGTGTTTGTGAATGAGAAAGCATTTATTTGCTGAACTTGAGAACAGTTCTAAGATTTTAGGGTGAAAGTGAGAACATAAAATAGAAGACAGAGGAAAATTTGGCTGTTGGTGGCATAACAGGGTATTTGCATGCAGGCACTTTTGACAAAGTAGCACAGACTCAGTGGCTTAAACAACAATACTTATTTTCTCAAAATCGTGAACTTCCTAAGTTTAAATAAAGGGGTTATCTGTATTCAGGGCATTTCTCTCAGCTTCTGAATGTTGGTCTCCCCTTCCAACTTCAGATGACTTTATCTGAGTGTCTCTGTATTCTGATTTATTATAAGAACTATAATTATATTGGATAAGAACAGATATATATGATTGAATTTGCCTTCATTACCTCTACAAAGGCCCGCTCTCCATATAAGTCACATTCTTAGGGGCTAAGTGCTGAGATATAAAAATATAAGTTGATGGAGACATAATTCAGTCCTTAACACTGAGTTCCTAGATTAATAGTCACTCCATTTGCCAGGTGGTCCAAAAAATACTCCATTTATTGAAAAAGCAAACCTACTTTATTTGGTTTTACTTAAATGTAATAGAAAGCATCCTCATACAACATCTAATATTATTTCCAGAATTACAGGCTGTGTACCACAAAATACACATAAACTGAAAGTACAGAAAAATGAATCCTACCCATAGCATGTTTGAGCACCTAACCCAAGTTGTTTACAAGTTGAAATCACAATGACAATAATTTACAGGTAAAACAAGCCTGTATTTCTTTAAAAACCGGTATTTGGATCTAATGTACACATATATACTATTTTAAAGAAACACGATTAGCCCCTTGGTTGTGGCAAGTGCCTTAAATACCTGCACTCAGGAGGCAGACACAGGCAGAACTCTCTGAGTTCGAGGCCAGCCTGGTCTATAGAGCAAGTTCCAGGACAGCTAGGACTGCTTTACACAGAGAAACCCTGTCTTGAAAAACAAAAACAAAAGAAAGGAAGGAAGGAAAAAGAAAAAAAAAACTAAACACACAAGAGGTGTGTTTGTTAGTATGTTATTCAAAGAAATTAAGCCTGTGCCTAATGTAATTGAACTGAGTCGCATACTGGGTTTATGTGGCACTGAATATCCACATCATCATAGGCAAAAATCATTTTTAATGAATATTAATAAATGAATACTTATAAATGTGCACATAGTGTATATAATATGATGTATTATTTATGACCAAACTTAGTGAGTTTTGTGTTTGCATGTGACTTTGACAGAGTCAGTGAGGGGCACAATTAAGAAACTACTGAGTTGCCGGCTCCTTTGTAGGAGGGAAATTTTCGGTGGTAGGTAAGAGAACATCCATAGGCATCTGGAAGAATCCAGAGCAATGCAAAAAGGAAAGAGACCAGACTTAGCCAAGGCTAGGAAAGCAGGGCATGGACCAGGAAGATGAGTCGCTGAAGGTAGGGAACCTGTGATCTGGTGAGGCCTGGCAGTTTAGGATAGATGTGGAAGTGAGGAAGGCCAGGAGCCAGGTGCTTCAAAGTGTTTAACAAATCCCTGACTCCGGACTGACATAGCTTGAAGGCCAGCAAGGACTGTGGTATGCCAACATAGGTATCTGTCACTGTGGAGCCATTTGACCCTCCAGGCAGAGGCAAAGAAAATGACTTCTTTTAGCTGACTAGCCAGTTTCACTAGTTTGTGAAGAATGTTGACTTTTATCTAACTACCAGAAATCTTGAGTTCAGTTTGAACTTAATTTAGGCTTAATTTTGGACTTTACTATATAACAAATAATTTCACAAAAGTATCTGACGCAAAAAAGTAGAACGGTGGAACTAAAGAGTATGAGAAAGTCAAAAGAGTTAAAAGGACTTTAAAGGAACCACAGTAATGAACACTGGACAGAAAAGAAATGCAAGAGGAGATACAGACCAGAGAGAGAGGGAGAGAGAGAACAACAACAACAAAAAATATCCCACCATCCCAAAACCACCACCAAAAAGCCCTGCAAAAGAAAGCTTAAAAAGGATCAGAAATAAATATACAGAATGAGAGAGGAGCAGCAGCTGCTGGATTTCCAAGGTGACAAGGCAGCTGCCTCCAAGAGAGGAAAGCTGAAGAAGCCAAAAGCCCACCAGCCTCAGGACACTATGGTGTTCCAGTAGCCTGTCCCGCCACTCTTCCGGGGCAGCCCCGGCGGGCGGGCAAGCGGATCATCCCCTTAGGCTCCTGGGAGCATTGCCTAGGCTGCAGCCTTCACCGCGGGCTTTAAACGTAGGCAGCAGCCAGGTGTCCAATACCGGCGTGCAGAGCCCTGGACACCACAACAGGACGCCAGGCTAGGCAAGCTTCTAGGTGGGCGCGAGGCCTGAGCGGAGGGGGAGGACATCCGCAGCCGACAGCGGGAACGGGGCTTTAGGAGCCCCGTGCAGATTCGGAAACCAGCGCGGAGAAGCCCGGAGGTAGGTACCAGGGAGCGGCCTGGGTAGGCGGCCTGGACTGTGAGCCGCAGGCGGGATGCTCAGCACACTGAGGTGAAGGACAAGGTGGAGGAAGGAGAGGAGCTTTGCCTCGCTTCTCCTCTCTGCTTCCAAACCGGTTTGATAGGGCCACGTGGGGCGCGGGGCGCGGACAGCCGAGCTTAAGAGTCTCCAGTTCCGGCATTTCGGAAGTCCAAATCCTGTTTCATATCCGCCGTTCCACTGCCGCTCTCCAGCCCTTCCCAACAGCAGCAGGGACCCAGGAGAGCTCAGCACAACAGCAGACACCCAGCAAGGTGTCCAGCATTGCCCTCAGGCTCCTGGGGTGGGGTGAGGGCCGGTTAGGGACCAGATCCCTGGAGTGGAGGCATCTAACAAGGGGTGGGTGTGAGTAAGTTGGCCCTTTATCCCCTCAGCTTACTGTCTCGTCCCTTTTCTCCAATGCAGCCATGGACCCAGGCACCAGCACCCAGTATTTCTGGACCACTAAGGCCCAAGGGGAACCCGCAGATGCAGCTGCTGGACATGAATTCTCTGACAACTGCACCAATGAAACTGCAACCTTGACCAAGAAAAAACCGAAGCAGAAGAGGCAGAGGAGCAGATGTTCGTCCCTGGCCGAAAGGAACATCGTGGGCTGTAGAATTTCTCACGAGTGGAAGGAAGGCAATGGGCCCATCACCCATTGGAGAGGAACGGTTCTCGATCAGGTTCCTATAAATCCCCCTCTCTATCTTGTGAAATACGATGGAATTGATTGCGTCTATGGGTTGGAACTTCACCACGATGAAAGAGTGTTGTCCCTTAAAGTGCTCTCTGATACAGTCAAACCATCCCCAGTCCCTGATCCTAACTTTGCAGATACCATAATTGGCAAGGTGGTGGATCATATATTTGAGGGTGAGCATGGCTCAAAAGATAAATGGAGGGGGATGGTTCTGGCCCAAGCTCCTATACTTAATGCCTGGTTTTACATTACCTATGCAAATGATCCCATCTTATACATGTACCAGCTTCTGGATGATTATAAAGAGGGCAACCTTCGTATCCTGCCAGAGTATAATGAGATTCCTCGACCAGATTTAAACCTGAAATTTAAGGATGGTCTGATAGGCAAGATTGTGGAATATACCCAAGACGACGGTTCCAAAAGGACTGGCAAGGTGATTGGCAAAGTAGAAGCCAAACAGTCAGTGTACTTCATCAAATTTGACGACGATTTTCATATCCATGTCTATGACTTAGTGAAATATGTCTAATTGGCAAAGTTATGCCACAACTATTGAAATAAAGTTGTCATTTCTAGACTTCCAGAGGCTGCTGCTTTTAAGTGTGTTGGGAGCTCACCATGGGCATAAGTTTGTCCTGATGAATACACATTTCTGTGGGTATGGCCTGCTGTCTGTAAGCACTTTGCCTTGTGGAAAACACTGGGTGTGTTTGCCGGGTGGAGCAGGGAAGGAGGGAGCAGCTGTCAATTCAGCCTGAGAGAGGAGGGAGCTAGTATCATCTAAAAATGGAATGGGACTGAGCAGGTCTGGTCGGGGGAGCGAGGATGAGGAGAAGGAAGTGGGGTTGGGCTGTGGAGGAGGGGACTGCCTAGGGAGAAGTGCAGGGGAGCCAGAGTGAGAGAGAGGCTCCCTGGGGGTGGGACAGATTGAAGGAAGAAACACGGATTGGGAAGGGCAAGAGGGGTAACAGAGTGAAGCCTTCTGGCACCTTCTGGCTTTCAGAAAACCAAAGGAACTCCTGTAGGAGAATACACACAGCAGTGTGAAGAGGGACACAGGACGGGTAGAAAAGTCTGTTGGGCAGGGAGGTCCCTGAGGAGAGCCTCTGAGACTTCAGAGGTCAGGGGGACCCACACATAGGCCATGGTACACTATAGGCTTAACTGGGAGGAGCATGCCAAGAATGGCCTGATGCATCCACCTTCTACTGTCTGGCACTTCATAGTGGCAATGGTCAGCTGTCAAGCAAGGCACATGTGATAGAGGGTCACAGAATGGCCTTTCTAAGGGCCTACTGGGAGAATGGAAGCCAATGTCAAGTTTATATCCATTTATCAGGCTTGTGTGTTTTCAAGAGAGTCTGACACAGCCTGAAGCCTAAGCAGCTAACAAGAGTTCATGGCTAGCTCTGGGCAAAGGGCAAGTACTTTCTTTGGGAAAATGGATAGTTGGTGAATCCAGGAATAGCAGTTCTGACACTGTCCTGCTGGCTGGAATAATCCTTGCTTTCCTGGGGGGATGGGCCATCTGATGGCTGTGCCTCATGTCTCCGAGGTATAGAGAGAACCTGGTTGTCCATGCTCTGTCACAGCTGCCTGGCTCCATTCAGTGCCCAGGCAAAGGGAAACTGCCCTTCCTTAGGCATCGAATTCTGGTTAGACTCCCTGAAAAGCCTGTAGCAACTGACACTTTCTAGGTATGTCCTACCCAAACCAGATTCCCCTTCCTTTTTATACTCAAAGTTACCCCTGATGGAGATGTGTGCACCTCTCTTTTGCAAGAGGGTGGTATCACCTGGGGATGGGGTAGGGCTGGGGATTGTGGCTTTGCCTAAGTAATTCCTTTTGCTGGAAACTGCCCTTTGAACGGGCTGGGCTCTCTGGGAAGAGAAACTGGGCATGACAGGAAAGTGTCTCACAACTGTGGAGTCCAGGACATGGGCCTCTGTCCTCATCTTCTGCTCTCTGTTGTCATTCCCCAACCTTCCAAAGTCCCTCTGAGAACACTGTGTGTGCTCTGCCTCCTCCTTCACCTGTTGCCTCCCAAGAGAACTCTGTTTCTGGTTCATGCTGTGGGGGTCTTCCTAAAGACACACTTGGAGCAAGCAAGGATTTGCCAGACACTGAAAGAAAGCGCTAAACCTCATCGATGCTCACCACCGAGCAAGCGTTGACTCTATAGGTTGATTGCCTCAAGAATGACACACGACAAGCACACCTCACAAGGACAGCCTTAGTTGTCTTTCCTCCATCATGTGGTTTTGTTCAGACAACACGAGTAGGTCCTTGGGGAGCACTTCTGCTGTCAGCTTCCGTGTTTTGTTGGTTGGTTGTGTTTCTGCTGTGTTCTGCATTCAGTTAGACTTGTGGTAAATTCATATCACATAAACGTTCTGGGATAGGACCCATCTTCCAACAGGGATACAATGAAGGAAGGATTGACCTCATTTTAGTTTTAGTTGGCCATGCCTTGGTAAAATCCAAGTCCATGCTCTGGAAAGAGGTTCATTTGCAGCTTTATGGCTAGAACATGGATACTTGTCTGATTTCATATGCTCAATCCCATGGATTCTTCATTCATTTGTTTTTATCTTCATCCCATAAACACTTTGGGTGGGCAGGCACTGTTCGGGACATAGAGGTGAGGTCAGTGGATACAGCAGATGAATGGATTTTATCCTCATGGAAATTCCTTTGTAATGTGTCATATGTGTAGTTAGCCATGTAGTTCATAAATCTATGAGAAATACTTTCATATTGATAAGTGATAAGAAAGGACATACCTAAGCCTGTTTTTGGAAAATGAAGTTTGAAGATAACGCTCCATACAGAGAAACAGAGTGGCCAGGGTGGCCAGGAAAGGTTTCCCGGATCCTCTAGGTTTAAAATGAAAAAATAAAGGTTGTGAGAGTGTGGCCCTTTGGCAGCAGTAAAGGAGAAAGTGCATTCCAGGAAGAGTGATGACAGATACCTAATCTCAAAGAAGACCTGGCACATTTGAGGAGAAGCAGCTGGGATGGCAGAGAGAGTTGGGCATGGAAGGCAGAAGTACGGCATGATTTGTGTTACTTTTTAACAGGAACAGTCTGGTACCTCCAGATAACCTTCTTTGAGCACAAAAAACCAAATATTCCAATGTGAATGTGTGCATAGATGAGAATACATTTTGCACCCAAGAATCGTGCCATAGTATCCCTCAGATATCCTTGGAGATAATAATTACTCAATGACTATTCTTTTTAACAGTGTCTAGGAATTGTGGCCCACTCAATGAGGTCTTTGTATCAAATACAATCCTGTGTATACTAGAGATGAGTCATTTATTAATATTTAGATGCTCACTTACCCAGATGAGTATTCCAGGCTGACAGTGTCCCCAAGGAGGGATGAAAGGCTGAGCCAAAGTAATGTAATTCTCTGGAGCAATATGCCCTTTGTGAATACACTGCTAAGCCTAGTGTCTAAATCCCATGAGAAAAGTAAAGTTCCTATCTTTCTATGCCTAGTGTATGAATGTCATTATCTGCATAAGCTCCTAGGGAATGACACTATTAGTAGGTGTGGCTTTGTTGGAGTAGGTGTGACCTTGTTGGAGGAAGTATGCCATTGTTTCCGTGGGCTTTGAAGTCTGCTATAAGGCCAAGCCACACTCAGTTTCTCAGTCTACTTCCTATTGCTTTGTGATCAAGATGGAGCCAGCACCATGTCTGCCTGCACACTCCTATGCTCCCTGCCACGATGATAGCTGTAAGCTACCACATTGTTCAAATATTTTCCTTTTTAAGAGTTGCTGTGGTCATGGTGTCTCTTCACATTAATAAGAACCTTTGCTGAGGCCCCGAGTTATTATTAATATCGCCAATAAATTTTCTGCTGTGTTAACCAAGTTCACTGGAGAGTAAAAATATTAACATTCAGCCAGGCATGTTGGCACACAACTTCAAGTCCAACAATTTTGAGGCAGAGGCAGGTGCATCTCTGTGAATTTGAGGCCAGCCTGGTTTACAAAGCAAGATTCAGGACAGCCATGGCTGTATCACAGTAACCCTGTCTCAAAAATCAAAACCAAAACCAAAAAATGTTAACATTCTTAATAGGAAGCATTTAGCTATGGCTGCTGAATGAAAACCTTTCTAAAGCTAAACTACATGTTGTCAGCAATTAGGACTTTAACTCCTGCTCTAAAATAATAAGTAATATGGAAAATATGTGTAGTTCAGTCTGGTAAGACATCAGTCATCACTTATTTTTCCATACAGAGTCCAAAGTAATCACCAGGTCCTTCTAAGGTCCCAGACCAAATTGCCCTGCATGGTCTCTGACTCCATCCTTTTCTTCATCTCAAACACAGCAAATGTCAGGAGCAAAACACTTACTTCCTGTAGGTGGTGGTGTTTGGTTATGTAAAGAACAAGTAGGACATTTCCTTATAATTTCCTTATAGTTTGGTTTGTTCCATGTAAGAGAAAAGTCTTTTTTTTTTAAAAAAAAAACTTTTCTCATTTACATGATGTTTCTATGGAATTCTGAGGTCTTCATCACATTTCCAATCGATAATTGATCTATTTCTACATTACCTTGTGCTAGAGAACCTGGCAGACCCATATGGGATTGGATGTATGTTATGTTATACAGGATGATGATCATATTTTGTTCCTGAATATTAATGAAGTCAATTCTGTATCACCTGTTATAAATTCAGTGGTTTCAATAGGCAAAACAACTCTTTCTGTAGATTGTGAATCTGTAACTATGTTGAAAGTTTCTTTACAATCCCTTAGTACCATGAGCATAGTATATAATTCTGAATTTTGGACAGAATGATAAGGGCTTTGCTCTATTACTTAAATTCTTGGATTTGTGACCTGCCTTTCCTGATTTATTTGCATCAGTATAGAATGTAGGGGCTCCAGTTATTGGTGCGTCCTGTACAATGCAAGGAAGGATCCAATTAGTTCCCTTTATAAGTTAAATTTTCTTGGTTTTGAGTATAGCTTTTGTAAATATCTCTTAAAAAATTACTACAAGTTCTTTGCCAGGATTCCCTTTCTTCCCATAATTTGTCAATTTCATCATTATTAAAAGGTACTGGGTCTATTCCTGCGAATTAACAAATCTCAATTTTCCTTTTAGAATTAACTCAGAGACCCTTTCCACATAAATTTTAAATTTTTACTTGGTTTATGTGATAAAAAGATCCATTATAAGATAATATATTCCCTCTGCATTAAAATTTCTGTAGGGGAATATGTAGAGGGTAATATGACCATAATGCTGTTAAGATTTGGATCCACACAATCCATATGTGCCTTATGTAATTTCTCTAAAATCAAAGCTAATTCTCTCTTAGTTTCAGCTGATAATTTCCTGGGATTATTTAAGTCCTTGTCACAATCTAAGGTTTTGTTTAAATTAATCAGTTCATCGGGTTTTATCCCAATAGTGCACTGCAGATGGGAAATATCTCCTAGCAATCTTTGAAAGTCATTAAGAGTCTGCAATTGATCTCTGCTAATTTGCACCTTTTGG